CATAGATCATAATAGTGTTATGCCTCCCTTTTCATATAAAAGGGGGATAATGCCACACTTTTGCTATATTTCTATACCTCTCACTATCCTTATCACTATTATCCTTAACTATCCCTTTAGAATACCCTAAAATATCAGGGACCAAATACTCACAACTAATGATGCTATTCACAGATGTTATCCCCTACTCCCTTAACCACTAACGCACTTTAACTGCTTTAATCCCCCTTAAGCGTCACTACTTAAGTGGCTAGCAGTCTCTCTATCATCCTTCCCTCAAATCTATCTATCCTTAACCTCCCTATAATTATATAGTATAATAAAAGATATGTGGTTGAAGAGCAGCTGGCCTATAAAGGAGGCAGGGGGAGGAAGAGTTAGATCAAGGACTATAGGGTCTTCCTTATTAAGCTTTATAATGAAGGGCCAGCTGGTGCTTATTAGTGCTGTTAATAATATGATAGTAAAGGAAAGCTAGAGTTCTTTTCTGCTGCTGCTTCTAGCTCTACTGCAGACTATCTTCATAGGTATATATATATCTTCTGTTATAATTATTACTAACTAATCTATATATAGATGCCACTAGATCACATAATAGGATCCTTCTTCCAATAATATAAGCTCAGGGGAAACTCTCTATAGCTCAGAGGATAGTACTCCTTTATCAAAAAGGAGGAAGGTATCCCATATACCCAAGGCCAAAGTAGCTACTGTCAGAGATCTCTACCTCTCCATCATCATCACCAATAATCTACCATTCAACCACTTCCAAGACAACTTCATCCAACAGCTTCTATAACTTCACAACCCCTCTCTGGTTAAAGAAGTACTATAGGGTAGGACTGCAATAATGGACCATCTTCCTCTTTTTTTCACTAGGGGCTAAGCCTATATTAAGGCTGAAATTCATAATACCCTCACTAAGATCTATATTAGGTTTAATCTATAGACTTCACCTAATAACTACGCCTACCTTATAGTTACTACCCACTTTATCAACAATATAGGCTAGCATAAGTCTTATCTTATCACCTTGAACTATATAAGTAGCAACCACAGTAGTCTTAACTTATTAAATAATATCTATAAGACTCTTTAGCAGTAGGAGATTACTAGCTAAGTAGGTATAGTGGTCTGTGATAACGCTAGTAATAATAATACCTATATCTTCACCCTCTTTAAGAGACTTAACCCCATAATAAATCAGCTTAACTATTAAGCAAGGAGAATGTAATGCTATAGCCACATCCTCAACTTAGTAGTATAAGCTCTTTTCTTTGGTGCTGATTGCAAAGTCTTTAAGGCTAAGTTACTCTTCTACTAGACTGTCCACTATAAGGAAGAAGATCTAAGACTCTAGAGGAAGACTAGGCTAGTTAGCTGTTACGGTCAGCTATCCGACAGTAGGGTCTGCTAACAGAAGCTGGGGATTGATACGTTCTAACAGTACACTGGGTCGTGGTCGTAGGTTGTAGTTCGTAGGCTGTAGTAGATCGAGTCTTCAGAGGCTAAGGTGATCAGTCTTAGACTTAATAAGTGATTCGCAGTGAAGGTAAGCTGAGAGTATCCGTGAGGATGAATACTAAGTTGATTGCTGAAGAGCTATAGAAGTCTGACCATAAGCTAGGCTCAGGGTTATACTATATATAAGTCTAATTCTGAATATGTTCCTTTATACCTTAGGTCGATCTGGATTATTCTGATCCAGATTGATCGTTTAGCCCCTAAGTCGCGTTAGATCATATTGATCCAATATGATCATTATCTTATCATCATATAACTTAGACTATAGTTCTTCTGTTACTAAGTGAGTCCCTGTTGTTCCTGCGATCCTGCAGTATAAATATCCTATCCTAGCCGCCTGACGCCTAAGTAGGGTTGGTTAACTGTTATCTATGCATAACAGGTTGTAACATCAGGTTCCCTCTCTAAAGGTCTTATCCTTAAGACCTAACATAAGTAGGTTGTTAGTCCTAGGTTAGGGTTCTGTTAATTATGCTTTCTGATTTATCTATAATGCTGACACTATATCAGGTTGCATTTAGAAATCAGATTCTTATGAGACTTATTATACTTAGACTCAGTGCAACCATAAGGCTCTCAGTGCTCTGGTTGATCACTATGGTTATAACGTAATACCTTGTTCCCCTTGTTTTCAGCATAATCAAGTGTGCAAAATAGACCTTGCCAACTTGAAGTGTTGCGGCGAGTGTGTGAAGCAGGGTTTCTCAAACTGTGATAGTAGTAACGTATCAAATGCTTATGAGTACCTTATCACCTTAGTGTTTCCTGGTGTTGCTGATTTGTCGCAGTAGTAAATTGTTATTTTAATAAGCAAAAGAAAGTGGAGCGGGAGGAGGAAGAGGCTGAGGAGACGTTAGAGGTGTTGCAGACTTAGCTTGCTGCTGCTCTAGGTTGTTTATCTTATCTTCAGAGATAGAAAAGGTTCTTAAAGAAGCGTGGTTTGGATCTGATTCGTTAGGGAATGCAGTCTGTGGATAAATAGGAGGCTGAGGAACATGCTCTAGAAGCTTAGGAGTCCTAGGTGATAGAGGATTTATCGCTATAGGGTGCTCAGAATAAGTCGGATTAGTCTTCTCTAGGTACTAGGGTGGTTGATTTAGGTATTCCTCTGAACGTGGGTTCTTCTGAGGTTTCTTAACTGGCTTCAGGTGTTCCTAGGCAGATAAACAGTTTTCCTTGTTGCAGTTGATCTGCTTTAGTAGGTGGTCTGGTGAAGCGATATAGGTGTCTGATTTGTTTATATCCAGCATTCTTCTGGACTAATATAATAGGTACTAGTGTGGCTTCTCATTCTTAGTGTTATTGCCAGTAGATTATAAGTTCTTCTGCTGCTTTAGTGATATTTTTAGCTGGTTCCTATATATTATCTTTATATCTATATCCTTTCTATTTAATAAGATATCAGTATCCTTCTGGTTCCTTGAGATAGTTAGTAATTTGTTTAACTTCATACTCTGGTTTATTATCTTCTATAATAATAATATTATTTGTCTATAATTATATAGTGCTGGTTTCAGGAGTGAGACGTGGAATACTAGGTGATACTTCATAGTTTCTAGGAGTCTGAGTTTATAGTTAACTAGTGAGATTACTTATGAAATGTTAAAAGGTCTAAGTTTTTTATAGTTAAGTTTGTCGTTTGGTTGCTTTGTCTTAATGTTTCGCTATATAAGATAGGCGCTATCTCCCTCTTTTAAGGTTGGTCCCTTAATTCTTTATTAATTACTGAATCATACTATTCGTTATTATACAAATTTAAGTTCTTTGCATGCGTTATCTTGGATATCCTTGATTTATTATACTGAGGCAACAGCTTTAACTGCAGCTAGGCCTGGTCGCATGTTTCCATAGGCGGTTGGTTCAAATCTGTAGTTGAGATAGAAGGGGGATTCCTTGGTACTTTCTCCCACTACGCTATTATAGGCGAATTAGGCTATTAGGAGCAATATAACCTAATTATCTTAGTTATAGTTAACATAGGCGTAGAGATATATTTTAAGGATTTAGTTGATTTGTTCTATTTATCTGTCGGTTTGCAGGTGGAATACAGTGGATATTGCTTGCTTAATGCTAAGTTATGATATGATTAACTTCTAGAATTTAGAAGTGAAGATCTTATCTCTATCTGATATAATTTCCTTAGGTGTTCTGTGATTAGCGATAATATATTTGAGAAATATGTAGGCATATTCCTCAGCGTTACTTAATTCCTTATATAGGATGAAGTAGGCATACTTTATAAGTCAGTCCATAATAATAAGAATGCTATTAAAGTGTACTCCTATAAGGGGTTCTTAAGACTTTAGTAATTTGACGATAAAGTTAAGGGATATAGATTGCTAGGCGGTTTGCAGCATAGGCAAGGGTTATAGCATGCTGTACAGCTGATGTTAAGCAGGTTTGCTTTTGAGGCAGACCTCATAATCCTTAATTGCTTTTGCCACTTATTCTCTAGTGACCTTTTCTCTATATTATTATTATAGTTATTTCTAGGTTTTTATGATTCATTAGTGACTATATAGGGCGAGCATAAAACTCCATAATTGCTTTATCGTCTAGTTTGCTAAGCAGGCTAGTATTAGATCATCCAGCTATTATTAAGAGTTTAGTTGCTAGCATTAGGTCTCTGTTGTTATTTCCTTTGAGAATCACCTGGGTTTCTTTAGGTACTAGGACGTTATAGTCTGGTCGTCAGCTAAGAGCGTTAGCTCTGCTATTATCTGATCCTTTGCAGTAGATAATTTAGAAGTTGAATTCTGATAGGAATTCTAACCATCTAATTGTTACGACCCGTTATGCATGGATAACAGTTGACCGACCCACTTGGGCGTCGGGCGGCTAGGACAGGACATTTATACTGCAGGATCACGGGAACAACAGGAACTCACTCGGTAACGGAAGAACTATGGTCTAAGTCACGTGATGATAAGATAACGATCATATTGGATCAATATGATCCAACACGACTTGGGGGCCAAACGATCGTTCTGGATCAGAATGATCCAGATCGACCTAAGGTACAAAGGAATATGTTCAGAATTAGACTTGTATATAGTATGACCCTGAGCCTGGCTTATGGTCAGACTTCTATAGCTCTTCAGCAATCAACTTAGTATTCATCCTCACGGATACTCTCAGCTTACCTTCACTGCGAATCACTTGTTGAGTCTAAGACTGATCACCTTAGCCTCTGAAGAACCGATCTACTACAGCCTACGAACTACAACCTACGACCACGACCCAGTATACTGTTAGAACGTATTAATCCCCAGCTTCTGTTAGCAGACCCTACTGTCGGATAGCTGACCGTAACACTTTGATTGCTCCTGTTCAGTAAGTTGACCATTGATTCCTACTAACAGTAACGAACGACAATATCTTCCCGCGCCTCTGTTAAGTCGCCTACCCTAGGATCCTCATCCACTTCAGGAGGACAAGCCACCTAAAACCTAGCCTAGGAACTAGGAGACCAAAAGATGAAGGACGACTCAGACAGCAAAGACGACACCGAAGAACTCAAGCGCCAGCTCAACAAGACCAACAGCGACTTCAAGGCAATGCGCGAAATGTTCAACCAGAACGCCGCAGCCCTTAGCGAACTCCAGGAACAAGCCCGCAAGAACCAGGATCTGGAGAAAGAAGTCGCCACCCTCCGAGCTGCCGCCAACGTCATATCCGCCCCAGTCGAAGGATGAGAACACCTCAAGCTCAACACGCCTTCCACGTTCGACAGGACCCCAGGACAACTTAAAGGACACCTAGTATAAGTTTGAACCTACCAGGCCTTCCATATAAACACCTTCCAGAACGACACCAAACGCGTTATACACGCAGCCACCTTCCTCTGGGGATAAGCCCTTGCCTGGTTCGAACCCCTTCAACAGGAATAGCTTGACAACCCTGTTGAAAAATACAGCTAAGAAGTCAAGGACATCTTCTTCAGCTTCACAGGCTATATCAAGGCCCTAGAATCTCTCTTCCTTGACCCTGATGAACGAAGACAGGCTGAGCGAGACCTATCCCACCTACGACAAACCAAGTCAGCCACGCTCTACGCCGCAGAGTTTAGGCGATTAGCTGCAAGACTCCACATAACCGACGAAAGCAAAGTTTTTGCCTTTTATCAAGGACTTAAGGATGATATCAAAGACGAAATAGCCAAACTAGAGACACCTCCTAGCTTCCTCGCCTATATCGAACATATTATTAAGGTTGACAACCGCCTCTATAAACAACAAAAGGAACGAGGAGAGAAACGATAAAACCTAAATTCAGGACGTAAGTACTAATAGCAGCCTCAACAGAAGTTTAACAGCCAGCAGAACGACAACAGACCCTGCAACAACTGGAATAGCACCCGCCAGAGCACTGCCTATAGATAACACAGCAGACCTATAGATCTCAGCATGATGACCAAACCTAACAACAAAAAACCTTAGAACCCTAAGTGCTACAACTGCAATAAGCAGGGCTATATCGCTAAAGACTGCAGACAGCCTAAGAAGCTTCCCTGGAAACCAGTGGCAGAACAACCTCAATAAGTCAATATAATTGCAAAAGCCCTATATGCATCCTAATCGTGGACTAGATACTACGACGATAACTGCTGAATTCACCTCGAAGACAAAGAAATATCAGGACACTACCTAAGGGACAGCAACCCTAGACGGTCTGGTTATAATATGACCATCCTAGACACTCACCCTAGGACCCTAGCAATAATGCACTCCAGCAACAGCAAAGTGGCTAGAAAACCAGTTGAACAACTCAACAAGATGCTACGAATTCAGCGATTAGAACTAATCACCCCCCGCATAACTAGCTAACAACTCCACCACGAAGAACAACAAATCCAGAAGGAAATAGAGCTAATCCAGCAAGAAGACGACAGACAAGTACAACTATATCAACAACAAGAATCAGAAGAAGAACCAGAACACCAACATGATCCTCTGATGGAACAACAACTCCTCAGTATGACCAACAACTGGACTTTCGGAGAAGGAGAAAGCTCTTCCTATAACTCGGATAAACCTCGCGATGTTGCCCGATAACGCACTCAGACAGAGACCACCTATAGGTCCACCCCTAGTGTGGACGACTCCAGCTCTGAAGAGGAACCTAACAACCAGGAAGGAAGAATCAAGCAACTTCTGAGATACTAAGAAATCAACATGCTTCAAGATAAGCAACAACGCCACTTCTATAGCACCTCAGCAGCCTAATGAGACTGAGGCTACACCCCTCAGCTACACACAGAAGATCATCCCACGCTAAGAAGCAACCACCAGCTTCACCGAACCCTCTTCTGGCCCCAGTGCTTCCACGACAAATGCAAGGAACACATAGGAGAAAAGCACGATTACTAGTTCTACCCCAGAAGACATAACGACGAACCTATCTATGAGATCTACTCAACCTCCATTATGATCGGATGGACTATAGTACTATTCGAAGACAACCTCGCAGTCTTCAGACCTAGTCCTCAGTTCCCTATGAGATGTTAACATAACAACAGCATGAAATAGGACGAATGCTAATAAGACGAATGCTAAGTTCACTACTAAGAAAAGGCATAAACCTAGAGAATCGCAAAGAATGGACCTAGACCCCCATAGGTCAGGATCTGCAAAAACAGCCTCGCAAAAGCACAACGAGAAGGAAAGCAAATCACCTACCCAGGACAACCAGAGCAGTCAAAAAACTAGACTCACCTACCGACAACAGATCACAACAGGCAACAAACATAAGATCTATTCATCAAATATCACAAGGACATAAGGGTAATATCAAACTCGAAGTTACCATCAATCAGCAGACAACACTCGCGCTGATCGACAGTGGAGCCAAAGCAAACTTCATTGCCCCCCGAGCCATCAATAGGCTAGAAATACAATGGGGAGGAAAAGAACGACCATATCAGTTACACACAGCAGAAGGAGAAGAATTCAAGTACGAAGGAGGTACCATCTATAATGAGACTGCGCCCCTCAAGATGAGCTACCTGAATCGAAAAGAAAGAATCCAATTCGATATTGCCGATCTAGGAACATACGACATAGTGCTAGGACTACCCTGGTTACGAACAAGCAACCCACAGATAGATTGGAGCAAAGGCCAACTCCATTAGGACCATGATAATTCAGTCCCTGAGCAGCCCTGTCAGAATCAGGCCTCAAACGAATCAATACGACAAGGAACAGCAAAACGATACATCTGTTACCTCAAGGCAAAAGAAGCCATATCACAACCACTAACAACAATAGATCTCAAACAGAAGAGCGATCTACTTCTGTCTATCCCAGAAGAATATAGAGTGTATGAGAAACTCTTTGCAGCCGAATTAGAAACCAGACTGCCCGAACACACTAGTTTCAACCACGAAATACCCCTCAAGAAAGGGAAGGAACCACGCTTCAATAAAATCTACAGACTTAACCAGACAGAAATAGAAGCCCTAGATAAGTACCTTGAAGAAAACCTTAAGAAGGGATATATCAGACCCTCAACGTCACCAGCAGGAAGCCTAATCTTGTTCGTACCCAAAAAGAACGGAAAATTATGATTATGCGTCGACTACCGCATGCTTAACGAAATGACGATCAAAAACCGCTACCTACTACCGCTCATCAACAAGATGAGACGACTCCTCCATGGAGCTAACTGGTTCACAGCCCTCAACCTCAAAGGAGCCTATAACCTGATCAGAATGAAGCAAGGAGAAGAATGGAAAACCGCTTTCAGAACCTGAAAAGGATATTTCGAGTACCTCGTCATGCCCTTCAGCCTCACTAACGCCTCTGCAACATTCCAAAATATGATCAACTAAGTCTTACGCAAATACGTCAACATCTGCATAGTAGTCTATCTCAACAACATCCTCATCTTCTCATCAACACTTGAAAAACATAAGGAGGACGTACACCACATCTTATAAGCCCTCTAAGAAGCCAAGCTATTAGTTAAACCTGAGAAAAGCGAATTCCACACATAGAGGGTGGAATACCTCAGATTCACTATCACCCCTAGAAAAGTCTGTATGTCAGAAAACAAAGTCAAAGCCATCAAGGAATAGCTGGTACCTAACAACCTCAAGGAAGTCTAAGGATTTCTAGGTTTCATCAACTTCTACCGCAAATTCATCAAGGACTATAGCAAGATCAACGCAGCTCTCATAAGCCTCAGCTGCAAAGACACACCCTTTATATGGGAAGAACCACAACAAACAGCATTCCAGAAGATCAAGGACCTCATCGCCAGCAAGCCTATCTTAAGCATTCCAGACCTAACAAAACAGTTCGAAGTAGAACCTAACGCATCCAACTATGCGATAGGAGCATAATTATCTCAATAAGATTCAGAAGGACGACTACACCTATATGCCTTCTTTTCTTGCAAGCTCCACAGACCTGAACTCAACTATCAGGTTCACGATAAGGAACTCATGGCAATCATCAAAGCTTTCAAGGAATAGAGACCTAAGCTCTCAGGAACCACGCACGAAGTACTTATGTATTCAGACCACAAGAACCTCTCACACTTCACGACTTCAAAAGTGTTGAATAAAAGACAGATTAGATAGTTAGAATTCTTATCAGAATTCAACTTCCAAATCATCCACTGCAAAGGATCAGATAATAGCAGAGCTGACGCTCTTAGCTGACAACCAGACTATAACATCCTAGTACCTAAAGAAACCCAGGTGATTCTCAAAGGAAATAACGACGGAGACCTAATGCTAGCAACTAAACTCTTAATAATAGCCGGAAGATCTAGTACTAGCCCGCCTAGCGAACTAGACGACGAAGCAATTATGGAGTTTCATGCTCGCCCTGCATATAGTCACCAAGGAATCACAAAAACCTAGAAACGACTACGACAACAATATAGAGAAAAAGTCACCAGAGAACGAGTGGCAAAAGCAATTAAAAATTATGAGGTTTGCCTCAAAAGCAAACCCGCTCAACATCAACCTTATGGTATGCTACAACCCTTGCCTATGCCGCAAACCGCCTAGCAATCCATATCCCTCGACTTCATCGTCAAATTACCAAAGTCGCGAGAACCCCTCACGGGAACACACTTTGACAGCGTTCTTATCATTATGGACCGACTCATGAAGTACGCCTACTTCATCCCATACAAAGAAGCAAGTAACGCTGAAGAATATGCCTACATATTTCTTAAATATATTATCGCTAACCACAGAACGCCTGGAGAGATTATATCAGACAGAGATAAGATCTTCACTTCCAAATTCTGGAAGTTAATTACATCACAACTCAGCATCAAACAATTAATATCCACTGCATTCCACCTACAAACCGACGGACAAACAGAACGAATCAACTAAATCCTCGAAATATATCTCCACGCCTACGTTAACTACAACTAAGACAATTAGGTGGTATTGCTACTAATAGCCCAGTTCGCCTACAACAGCGCAGTAGGAGAAAGTACCAAGGAATCCCCCTTCTACCTCAACTATAGATTCAAACCAACCGCCTATAGAGAACCCCAAACAGGCCCAGCTGCAGTAAAAGCTATCGCCTCAATACGCTAAATCAAGGATATCCAGGAAAACGCACGTAAAGAACTCAAATTCATACGACAAAGAATAACAAAATTCAGCAACAAACAAAGGATTAAGGGACCAACCTTAAAAGAGGGAGATAGCGCCTATCTCATACGGCGAAACATCAAAACAAAGCGACCAAACGACAAACTCAACTATAAAAAACTCAGACCTTTCAAAATTTCATAAGTAATCTCACTAGTCAACTACAAACTAGGACTCCTAGAAACCATGAAGTGTCACCTAGTATTCCATGTCTCACTCCTCAAACCAGCACCACGTGGATCACAGACAAACAATATTATTATCGTTGAAAATAACAAACCAGAGTATAAAGTCGAACGGATTATCAACCACCTCAAAGAACCAGAAGGGTATCGATACCTCGTCAAATAGAAAGGATATAGACATAAAGACAACATATAGGAACCAGCCAAAAACATCACTAACGCAGCAGAAGAACTTACGATCTACTGGCAACAACACTAAGAACGAGAAGCCACACTAACACCTGTTATACTAGTCCAGAAGAGCGCTGGATATAAACGAATTAGGCACCTATATCGCTTCACCAGACCACCTACTGAAACCGATCGACTGCGACAAGGAAAACTGTTTATCTGCCTAGGAACACCAGAAGCCAGTTAAGAAACCTCGGGAGAACCCACGTTTGGAGGAATGCCTAAA